TCATCGTCCATCTTCAGGATGTAGCTAGCGTTCATACAGTATTCCGTGACCCATTTAAAAGCCATGATAGATTTGTATGTTAAATTTTGGTACACGTCCAAAAAGTCTTCCTGGACAATATCATGAAACTCATTGTTTTCTTTCTGGATCATCGACATCAGCTGCTGGCTCTTCACTTGTCCAAGCAGGAACAGCATCACAATGTTCAACTGTTGCCGCACTGTCCGATGACCCCAGGTGTGACGGATGTGGCTACGCCTACTGATATGTGCCGGGTCTGACATAACAAGGGCCAGAATGTACACTTTGTCACGCGCCAACGCACAAGCGTTCGCTTGCGGAATAAGAAACCGGAACGGATGTGGGTTCGCGATCCCTTGCGAGTCTTCTGCCTCACCTGAATCAGTGTCGTAATCATAATAGTCGTCATATTTGACTTTCAGCGGTTTCGGTGTCATTTCCAAGAAACGTACTCTGTTCACATTGAAGCCGTACTTGCTCTTCGAACAGCAGGTGAACATCCATGCCACGTAACTGAAGATCATTACTGAGGTAACAAAGAAGTAAGCCATCAGTCCTTTGGTCAGTAGTTTCAGCGAACTGTTGCTGCAAAATGCCATTGAGCACTCGACAGGTATGCTAAACGAGAGACACCTAGAACTGAAAATAATATACAGCTGGTTTTATTAAATCCTTTAAATATGTCAAACGCTTCGCGAAGAATTAAAATAATAGGCTGCATTAAGATGTCTTCAGGCCGGATTGAATAAGACAGGATGACAAGGAAACAAAAAGGACTGCACTTGAACGATAATTATGCCATTTATCAAGTGCAAATGAAAAATTTGCCGGGCAGCGACCCTAACTGATTAGCCTATTATTAATTGTGGCAGGCTTTCGTCGAAAAAAGCGCCTATAATGAGTGACAGCCGTAGAGAACGGTAAAACAGGTTTGTTTGTTTGACAAGATAAACATCAGAAAGTTTGCATAAAAATTAATGGATCAAAGCTTTTGCAGACAGACAAAGTTTTTTGCCTCAACTGTGATGGTCACGAATATCGATCTGACCTGAGTGGGGCGGAGCCATTATGGACCGCAAGTACGGCTTTGTCACTCAAGTCGAAGAAGGGTGCACCTCGCAAATTATGAGCTCGCCTTCAGTAATTTATAATTGTCATTATCCCACGCAGCGGTTGTCGTTTCTACGAGAGAAAAAACTACCAGAAAGAAATGGCCAATATCTGGAAGCCGATTGGCAAACCGGTGTGCAATAACAGGAAGGAATCGTATAGGCCTGGCTAAAATGGGCTTTCTACACAAACCACTTGGTTCACGCATTTTTACAGAGTGCTGAGTTCAGATATTCAAGAGAGAGAGCCTTGATTTACATCTGCTGCTGTTCCAGATTGAGAAGCCACAGCTGCGATCGTTTGGGCAAGTTTTGTGAATGCTCCCGAAAGATAAAACATACGGTTTGCTCAACCGACCGGCAGAAGACCTCGAGGAGTGCAAAGAATGATTTGAGTAAGTGTCCGATACACCCTGCTGCAAATTCCAGCTAGTTTGTGCTGAAGCTGAGGATCGAGAAGGTCATAAATACTGTCTGACACAGCTACCTCATCGAAACCGACTGAGCGCTCGGGTCGAAGTCCCAGATGTGTTAGAAAAACTCGGCCATTTGACGGAAGGTTTCAGGACTTAAATTCAGAAAGGAACTCATGAGGTTCAGCGGGTGCCAACGATGTTGAACATTTCATTCATTGTTCAGACATATAACAACATGTGCAGATTTTATGAACGCTAGTCTCTGTGTCTCTGTGCCCTTATGCTGGCCACCAAATAATATGAATTTCGATAATTTTCACCCATTTTCTTTTCGTCGATCCAAATTCAACCGAAACTTCAGAACATAAACAATGTGACTGTTTTCGTTCCATGTTCTGAAGACAGACGGAATTATGAAATGATTTCGCTACTGTTTCCTTGGGAATTAGTACTTCGCTATGTTATGCCCAAAATCTCCGCCCAGTTCTATTACTGGATGTGTTTTTCTTAGATGTATTCGCTTTAAAACCAAAACAGGCTTTCCAATGTTCCATGATTCATATTTCTCTAGTACTCAATGTTACTGAGTTCAGGACAAGTTTGCATTGTTAAAGAAAAAAGGCGAGGCTGTGCTTCATCGTCTTTGCCTTGTCTAGCCATGCCACTCTTCACTTTGGTCATAACCCACTTTCCGAAACTTCCGCGGTATCCCGAAAAGCACAAACTTTCTTAATCGACTGCGACAAATGAGCCCTGAATTTTCGCTAGATTAAAATATGAGAGAAATATCTTATCACACTTACTAGTTGTATCATTCTTAGACTAACTAACAACGGGTTACATATGTAAGACATAACGAAGTTTTTGTGATATATTGTAATTGGGAATCACTGCTTCGCAGTGACAATTATTCATAACTGTTCCTCAGTTATGCAGTAGTTAAAAACATTATTCGGAAGGTACAGCAAAACTTAATCCTTTCCAACAACTAACGAGGTTAATGACACGCCTCACGTTGAGAAATGTCAGACAAACCGAAACGTCTGTTGCCACACCTCTCGACCCAATAATCGGATATTTTGTGTTAAATGAAATGATATATATTTCAAACAGTTTACTCCGAGAATCTGTCTTAAATCTGATGACATGAACTATGATTTCCCAGGTTTCATAATATGTTCAAATAATCATGAATTACTGTCTTATGCCTTCTTTAAGACCACATCTGGCGGCGAATTGCAGGCCATCTAGAAGGCCTTTCAAGCGCCCGACGGCTCCATGGTACTTGAGTAGCTGCGGTACCAGACGCATCTTGCAAAATTTTCTTCGGTAGCGCTACCTCGCGGTCATTGCCAGCGATGTTTCAGGAGCTGGTATTCTTCATATGTACTTTAGAAGGAGTAATGTGCTATTTGACCTACTCTGGCATATGAACAAACTCTGATGCTAATGACCAGCTAGTAATAAGAAGTCTTCTAAACAGAAAGCCTTCCGATACAGTGGTTATAAGCATAAAGAAAACACATCGACAAAATTAATATTCTTGGAAAATAAGTTTAGAACCACTAGCCGATAAACTCAGCATTGTGATTTTT